CAGCATAATCATTGGATTGAAGAGCGCTCGAGGGTTGAGGTATTGTCGACCATATCATTGTAGTGATATCAAAAATGGTTATATCATTGTACTAAGGTGATATCGAATCATTCTTTTTGGATCCACTACAAATAAAATTTTTTCCATAATTATCGATAATAGGTTCATTTCATTGCGCATTATGAAAATAGAATTAAATCCAATAATATTTGGCTTTGTCCATTGTGAATTTTTAAAATCAAATAAGTCACCAATGAAGTATATGTCTCTGAGTTTGTATACGATACGAGCACCCTTCCACCAACTATGAAAACCGATGAATTATCAATAGGATTAACACATGAGCCTCCAAAACTATATATCCTATTGGCATTATTACATCTTTGTGCCATGATGACATGGTTGTATTAAACGAATTTGACAAATCAAGATAAGTATTTCATTGATATCAACAAAAATTTGCATTCAACCACCAAAGAAATAAAATCTATCATTAACTAGTGAGCTAACCTGTTAATATCGAGGGCTAGGTATACTTTTCAAGCAACAAACAAAAATATACTAAAATAAATCGAAAAGCATAGGTACGAATGGTCATGTGATTGGACTAATGCCGGCAAGCCAAAGGTGCTGGAAATAAATTAAAATAAAGGACTTTAAGTCCGCAGAATACATTGTGAGTAATTTGAGCTGCGTAATTTGAGCTGAGTGATTTGAGCTGAGTAATTTGAACTGAAACGATGATATACTCCCGGGAAAATTAGCAAGTAAGATTGCGCCCAGTATCATCGTAACTGTAGAATGAGTGAGAAGCAGCATCAGCCGGTGGCTTCCCGCCTGCTCGAAGCAGGCCGGCTGTTAAATAGGAAAATGGCAGAATCAGGAGACTGTAATGTGTGGTGGGAAGGATTGGTTCGAGAAAAAAGTGACGGTTGTAATGCTTGGTTTGTTGAAAGAGGAACGAGTGTCGCAAATCAGTTATTTGTCGTTTCTTTAAATACTGATTATTGTCGGTGGCATACAGTTACATCACTCTATTCGCATGGAATTTCCGAAGTATGATGTTTCTTTCGATCTCCGACCCATGTTATCAGGCAGGGTCGCAGCACACGGTGTGTAGCCCTGACCATGCTCCTCTGTCTTTTCGATCAGTTGACTCTTGTCAACATACATTGATACAGTAATTTCTAATTATGAAAACTACAGTATATTACAAAATCAATTTTTTAAAAAGTATGATTTAACAAAAGTTTGCAGGAAATCGGAGAAGCTTTGCAATGCATTGCTGTTTATTGTGGTTTGCAATTATTTCTAATGATATATAAATATCGACTAATATTATACTATATATTAGATATAAGGTCCCAATTTTAATTTTCATGAGGTTTTTGGGGGTCCTGAACATTTTTACTTAGAATATCCGATCCCGTTTACTTAGTACGTTTTTGAGAAATACGGACCTATGGTGTTGAACACCATAGGTGCATTTTAGTAAACTTGAAAAAATCATATTAAAATTTATTATGTTATACTTCGAAATTTCTCATCATGCAATATCAAGAAATTATCGGGCTAAAAAAAGAAATAAAATTTTAAATAATAAAAATCAAATTCTTTACAACATGATGAATGTGTAAATTATATTCCTACAAAGTTACCAAATTAAATATATTACAAAATAATGAATTTACAACTTCTATTCCTGCAAAAAAATATTTAAGAATCGCAAATTTCATATAATTTTGCAAACCGCAATAAATTGAATTCAAACGTTTTTTCGAACTGAATATGTTAAATGGATTCAGAATTAACATAGAAACTATATGAGTGAATTTAAAATTTCGGTTCAATTTAAGTGTATTTAGAATCAATTTATGTTGATTCTAACATACAACGTTTAGCTTAAAACCAAGTTCTTATAAATAATTGCAATTAAATAATGCCTTTTATTTAATACCATAGAAAATCATTTATTACAAATGTGCTCAAAATAAATTATGCAAATACAATATTATATAATATTTATAGCTTAATTATGTATATTGATAATAAATTTGCGTAGATATACGTGTATATGAATTATAAAATTTCTCATTTGCTTCAAATTTATTCCTCGTATCTGAGATTTGTATTATATTCTAATTTATTAATATGTTTTTAACTTCAAAAAAATTAGATCAGTCGTCGTTCATAAATAATTTAGGTATGTTAATTCCAAATCTTGTCATTACAAAAACAGTGAACCCAGTACTTAATATATCAGCAAATCTATGTGTCTTTAAATTTAAATAATTATTGGTTTTATAATAGAGGCGTATTATTCGATATATACCAATTGCCATGAGTTGTAATATGTCAAGAGCGAATAAAATTATTTGATAGATGATCTCTCTCTTTTTCTCCATAATTCTTTTTCCTTTCTTGTTCATAATATTTGTTTCCAAAAACATACGCCAAAGATGATAATAAAATATAGACTCTGAAGTAATATAATAGAGTCTAAAAATATGCACAACTATCTCTCGTATATTCATCACAACAGGGATGAACAGACATTCAGGATGATCAGGATTGCAATATGCACCTTGGCATTTTAAAGTATCAAAACCATTGACTACTGCTAAAAGAATTAACTCTATAATGCGTACACCAATAATTATTATATGAAACCTTTTAAATATGGGTGAATTATATAGTGAGTATACAGATTTACACCGTAAATATGCCAAATGTATCAAAAATGTTTTGGTTATGATATAAAAAACTGTTCTGATGTTATCTGTCACGTAACATGATATCGCGTAATAATCATTTGAACAAAAACTTCCACAATCAGGCCTTGCTATGTAAAACCAATTTGAACAATCTGATTTAAAATAGTCTGGATCTGAACAATACGCAAGTGCCACTATCATCATAGGTCCAGTAAATTCAACAATAAGAGCTGATATATTCATAAGACAAAAGATCCATATCTTGTCTTTTATTGTATCATTAACCGTGTCTACTACTAACATTCGGAAGAATGATTCGAATGTAAGAATAAGGGCTGCACCGACAAATAATGATGAGGTAACGATAAATTGTGCTGATTCCATAAAATCAGTTATAATTATTATATATCGACTTAAAAAATTGGCAGTGATATAGATAAATAAATACAACAGGGGGTTTTCAGAGTTAAATTATTTTGAATATAAGTGGGAGTTTGAAAGGTCTTATTTTTGTTTTGAAATTTAAAAATCAGAAAAAGAAAAGGAGTTGTCCGGAGATAAAATAAACAAACCTTTTCTAATTTAATAACTTCTAATATGGATATAATTATTCTTATACATACAAACGCACTAGTAACTGACAGAAAATGTTCTCCAGTGTCAATTACACAAAATTATATGTCGATAATGAAATCCGAAATAACAAACTCACGGTTCATTTTTTACTATTTAAAAAAAAAATCTTCACGTAATAAACTACCTTACTCATCTTAATGACAAGCTTGATTGATCGATTAAAATTATTTTCCGTTAATTAAAATTTAATTCCCGACACATTTTTGACATACTTTAACCCATGAGGTGCTTGATCGAGCTAATATACTTTGTTTTAACATACTAATGTTGAAATTAATTCTTTAAAATCATTCATCCGTACGCACTTACGTCACAATTCCGGTTTCGTGTGTATCGTGTACAATATTAATTTGTGTTAATATACTATATTATATATTTCCCAAACGTATGTATATATGTTTACTGTACGCACAGTACAACTTGAACACAGCACTGCAGTACTTTGTTACAGAAACAGTGGAACAATTTTATAACAATGTATAAATGAATATTTTAAAGTAAATAAATTAATTCTGAATTCATTATATGTAGAAATTAATCTTTTTTAAGTTAATAATTTCTATAATAAATAATTTATTCTGGAATTCATATAAGTTTCTTTGATAATTTCTTATTATAGATTTAATCTTTTTTAAGTTTTCTTTGATAATTTCTATTATAAAGACTGCATTAATGATCCTTTTTTAAATTTCTCGAAAAGCATAGGTACGAATGGTCGTATGATTAGAATAATGCGGCAAGCCAAAGGCGCCGGAAATAAATTTAATTAAAGGACTTTAAGTTCGCAGAATACATTGTGAGTAATTTGAGCTGCGTAATTTGAGCTGAGTGATTTGAGCTGAGTAATTTGAACTGAAACG